CTATTGCATTGACTATAGTTTCAGTAAAAGATACCAGATTAGTGCATGTGGATCTGGAACCAGTAAATCCATGTTGGTCGGAGGAAAGATAATTTTTCATATGCTTCTGAATTAAAGGATATATAGCGCATTCAAAGACCTTAGCTAACGTAGACAAAATTGAGATAGGTCTGTAGTTACAGATCAGATTAGTACTACCTGCTTTATGAACAGGAACCACCATAGCTGATTTCCATTTATCCGGAAAAGTGCCAGAGACCAGTGATTTATTAAAAATAGAACATAATGGTACAGCTAGAGTTGAAGCACAAGATGCAATAAAATATGGAGATATACCGTCTGGCCCTGCACCCTTATTGGGATCAATATCTTTTAAGATATTTAGTACTTCCTCACTAGTAATTGTAGGAACTGTAACAGAAATACTGTTATCATTAAGGTGCCTTATATATGCAGAAGATTCAATTACAGAGATATTAGTTTGCTTGTTAGAATTTAGGGCAAGGGAAAATTGTTTTGCAAATAAGTTGCAAATCGAGACGCCTTCGGACGTTTCTGTAACTCCGTCAGTCATATTGGCTGGATATAAGCTCAGACCACCCCTTTTTTGTTTAGTAAATGTCCAAAATAACTTACTATTTCTTATAATACTTTGCTCGATATTATTAGTATAGAGATTATAATTCATCCTTGCAAGACGACTAACACGATCACTGACAATTTTTAAAGCTATAGCATCCATAGGATTATTATATAGCTTATAGCGCCACCTTATAGTATATTTCTCTTTAAGAGACTTAATGAGACTACGACTAAACCAGGGCGGAAACTTATTTTTCCTATGTTTAAGTGTAAATGGCACAAATTTACGAATAGTATCTTGCAAAACATTATAAAATCACGCCAACATAGTATTTACATCCTTAGCTTCCTTAAATATATCATCCCATTGCTGGTCTTGCAAATATTTGTTAATAGAATCATAATCAGCTCTGTGGAAGTTCGGCTTTAGAAGATTTCGCTTATAATCAAGCTTACTTTCTTTTGTCAACGATAATACTATTTCTAACGGGGGATGGTAAGGATCAATACTACTTAGTTCATTAAATGATTTGGAAACTTCACAAGCAACATTTGTTAACACTAAGTCTAAGATTTTACCTGTTTCATTGACAACATCATTGGCTTGATTAAGTTTATATAAATAAGTAAAGTCAACCAAATGCTGACCCAAACTCGGAACTATATAGCAAACATTATTTTCCCTGATTAATGACCAATTTACACAACTCAAATTGAAATCACCCACTATGACATTGTTCGAGTTATTTTCACATACAGAATTCCATTTATCTAAACAGTGTTCCACTATGTTGTGATTAACTGGTGGTGGTAAGTATACGGCACACAAAGTTAATCGGTTTTGAGATTTAGATTCAGGAAAATCCAGGGACACCCATATATCCTCACAGTTACTTTCCCAACAATGCATGCGTTTCGATCTAAATTTATTTTTTACAGCTATTAAAACACCCCCACCCTCTTTTCTATTGTAAAAATTACAGTTTTCTCGATCTCTTCTGTATATCGTATACCTATCATCAAATAACTCACGTGATAAAATACTGTCATTGAGCCACGTTTCAACCAATATTACAATATCGTAATCGTTACAACAAATTTGAGTATAGAAGCTATGTGTTTTTGTCCGCAAGCCACGGACATTCTGATAGTAAATTTTTAACTTACAGAATTTTATTAAAATAAAAACAGTAATACATGATTTACAAAGATATAAAAAAAAAAAATAGAAATAAAAATAACAACAGAAAAATTTAAACAATTTTGTCTAAAAAGCTAGTATCTTTTATCCATATAAAAGCAGACTCATCATTTTTCCGTACATAAATACGGCCATTTCTGACCCATATAAACTTGTATTGCATCTGCTTAGCTTTTAATCTGGTAGCAGCGTGTAGGGATTTATTAGCAGGAGATAGATGTTCAGCAGCGTATATCATAGATTTCACCCCGGGGATTCCAATAAGGCTACTATTTAATTTATTGTTAGGATTCGTTTTATTGTATTTTATGATACCTGCTAACAATTCATCACGCAGTCTAGAATTAGTTAGTTCCACAATAATTGACCTCGGGCGATTTGTATCACGTTGTATCTTGGCTACCCTTGTACAATTTACAATGTGTTTTTCATTAATGTCGCATTTTATAACCTTCCCTATTTCAGTAATAATGTTAATTAGATTTTCATGTTTTTTTTCAGGTACACATTGTAGTTCTATATTTTTAGCTCGGGAATGTTGCTCCAATTGGTTTAATCTAATGTTAAGATCAGAAACTGTTGTTTTTAAGTTCGTGTTTTCCATTTTCAGCGCTTCCAAAGCCTCTTGGGTGTTTTTATGTTCCTTAAGGACTTCCTCAAATTGTTCATTCATGTGTTCCATAGATTTAATCATTTCTGATATTTCATTTTGAATAGGCTTCAGTTTTGTATTCAATGCCTCATTCAGAGTACTATTCAATTTAGACAACATGTCATTAAATAGTGATTGCATTATCTCTTGAACGATGCCACTGACATCTTCACGCGTTAAAAGATCATCACGGCTAACAATCGGAGGGGAATTAACTAAAATTAATTTAAATTTTATTATGTAATAAGTCAATAACTACAAAAAAAGAAGGAATTGTGATAGGTTTAACAAGAATAATTATTAAGAAGCTAGTATATTATTTAATTGTGAGATCTAATTTATTTTTCTATATATTTATACTTTACACCTTTATGCTCTTTCCTTTATGTTCCTTTGTCGTAGAGCTATACAATAATTTTTTTCTGAGATCTAGGTTTATAGCCTGTGCTACCCTTTCTTCATTTGTGTCCAGCATCTTTTTTGGCATTAGCTAAAACTATCTTCAGGAATAGACACCGATACAATATAAATACTTGCTGTTACTCGCCAGCGGGCGAGGACGAGTTCCTTTGTATATCACGGCCCGATCACGCTTAGGAGTGTGAAGGTTTTGAGTCTTTCTAGACAAGCCGTATCTCCTTCCGATAGATCCTTAGTACACAAAAACTACTGATTGGATTTTAATGACACTTTACAATATATAGTTCATACATCAGAATAACAAATAGGCTACTTTTTACCCCGGAAAGATGTATGGTCTCCGTGAAATAGAGTTGTTTCTGTTGTCTAGAGGCGAACCCGAGTCCATAATAGTGCAGAAATATTAACATTAATTATTAAGGTTTTGATAGACCTATAATGTACCAGGTTTAATAGCACTTAGATAATATTTAAAATTGGCAATATACTTAGTTATTTTATGGGAATATTAAAAAAGAAAAGCGTCCCAGAACGATTACCTCAAAAATAATAGCCAAAGAAAGTCTTTCAAGGAACTCAAATACTAATGGCATTAATAAAGCCTTCTAACGGCCGAAATTATATAAATTACTGTCTGTTACAAGCCGAAAGGCCATCAATTATTGTGGTTATTCTTAAACTTTTTGTTCAAGTATACTAAATGCCAAACGCTTACCAGGCAGTCCGTAACATATAGTACGTCTATTAGGTATATATATTTCTTTTTTGTTATATTTAATGTTCCATTTTTATCTTGGTTTAAATTGTCTCATCATAATAATGATAGAAGCAATTATATTCACATTAAAATGAATGATAAATTTTAAGAGAAACATGCACCTAAACTAACACACCTATAACTAACCTACCTATTAGATTTTAGATTGCATATTTTTCTTTATTTCGATAAAACTTTGAAACAAAAAGATCCAAATCTATAAAATGAATTTATTAATTCATATTTCATTGATGCTGTTGTTAAGGATAAAATTCACTAAGTTATTTTCTATGTTGAATCATTTATATAAATAAACATGTTTTAGAGATGAGTAATGACATAAAATACCCTCATACTTCAAGCCATAGTTGTTATAATATAAATGCATTTTTTATCTTCCAAAGCAAAAAGAGAGATGACTGTGTATCTGTCTGTGGCGCCGTAGCCACCAAACGGATGAACAGATTTTAATTTAGTTTGAGGTGACTGATCAAGAGTGTTCTTAGCTATAAATCAAGAAAATCGGTTCAGCCGTTTGTAGCTCTTTTCTAAACGGTAAATAGATTCAAAACTTGTTATCCCGTTACTTTAATAACATTAGTCTAGGCCGGATGCTGCAACGTTACCTGGAATTTCAATATAGGTACTCAATTCTTTACCAAAAATAATGCAGAGATGTCGTGTTTATGCTCATTGAAATGGCCTCAATAATATTACCATAATAGAGTCCATATAATAAAATTCGTATTTAGTATTATGCAATAATTTAAATACTACAATTTAATAATAAAACATTGTTATAATTTAATGAGTAGATATATGTATGTACAGTTTAAACATTGTTTAAAATAATCTGTGCAAAATATCCAATATGTTCTTAGAAAATTTGTTTTCAATAAATATTAAATATTACTTATATAATTTATAAATATCATAAACAAAGATATAAGAAGATAAATTAATATTTTATTAAAAATCTGGTTAGAAAGGCTGGTTTTTTAAACTAGTCAATACAATAGCAAATAATGTTGACTTTGTAGATAAGTATAAATAATATTATTATTTCTTCATTTCAAGTATATCCATGTAAAATGTAACAGTGTACTTAACAATCTATCTATCCACTCTTTCTTATCTCGATATAAATGTTTTTAAAGATTATTACAATAAAAGAAACTGTAAATGCATATTTTTATTAAAAGTAAAAACATTATAAAACAAACATATCAGAATCAATACTGAGGAATGAAATGCTTAAAAATATGATAAAAAATCTTCATTATTATCTTGTCGTATATAATCAGTTTTATCATTGCTTATCATATCAAGTTACTAGACTCAGTCTTTTAGAGTACTAACTATAAAAAAAAAACTTCATGCACATATCACAGAGCGCTAATAAAGTGTGAAATAATTTTGACCCCCATGTACCAGTTGATTAGATATGGAATACCAAATGCGATACCACGCGCTGGTTGTGGAAGGGGCTTCACAGCGTATACAATTGTGTGCAAGACACGACCAGCTGTATACAGTCTGAACAAAAGAGTTGCCCATGCAGCCGACGGGCCGGTGGCTAAATACAATGCACCTAATACAAAAAACACGGGAATATTTTCCAGATCATTTAGGTGAGCTCGTCTAACTCTTTCGACGTCTGGATCATCGTATTTCACAATCCCCTTAGTTCTCCGGGCATCCTCTTCGTTGGCAAACACGTTCTTCCTATACCGTACTCTAGCGGTCAATATTGCCATTGCAAGGACTTTTAATCCCAGAATACTTGAGTAGAGTATATATGATTGCACCGCAGGCTCATTGATAGATACCATGTTTGTTTCCTTTCTGTCGCGTCGATTTAAATAACTAAACGCGTGTGTATACCGCAACGAACTAATGTCGACTGCTGAGTGATCCAAATTCCAACCCATTTCAAGGCATTGAACATTTCAATGTTCAATACTGTACCACGTCACGAAAATTAAATTGATACAATTATTTACCAGTCATGCTAGCTAAGCTCATTTTCCTAATAGATACCGGTTTCTAAATTATGGCCTAATACGATGATGAGTCTATTTAAAAATAAGTATATGCCGTTTATAAATTGCTAAACTGTGAATGATAATGTTTTTAACATAAACTGATGTAACTTAATTTACTTATATCTTAATATGTACGTTTTAGGAAAAACAAGATATTTTTCACGGTAAATGGCCACAGAAATATAAATATGATCTTTAAGATTCAAAAATAACGGGTTTGTCACAGCAAAACAGGGCTTCGGAAACAAAGGAATTGTATGTGTAATTTGCCTCAATTAATGTAAATTATTCTATACTTAATTATGTATTAGAACATATTATTTCATTATATAACATTACTAGGCTATAGTAAAAATACCACTTAAGAAATAAATGATTTATTTTTAAATATTTTACAATTTTATAATACCTAATAATATAAATATTAGTAAAAGATTTTTATAACACAATCTGTTTTCAAAATGATACTTTTAAAAATAACTATTGCATAATGTGTTTGTTTATTTTATCAAAGTAGTACTATCATGTTAATTTCCTAGATATCCCCAAATCAGGTATCTATACAAAATTACAAAGCACTAATGAAATGTTGCACAATTTTAACTCCCATGTACCAGTTGATCAAATTTGGGATTCCGAATGCAATACCGCGCGCTGGCTGCGGTAATGGCTTCACCACATACACAATCGTATGTAATACACGGCAGACAGTGAATACTCTGAACAGGTTTACAGCTACCTCGTCTGATGGACCAGTGGTTAAATATAATCCGCCAAGCAACCAAAACACTGGAATATTCTCGAGATCATTTAAATGTGCTCGTCTTATCCTCTCTACATCGGGATCGTCAAGTTTGACTACTCCTTTTAAAGATTTAGCATCTTCTTCATTAGCAAACACTTTCTTTTGGAACCGCTTGCTGCCAGTCAGAGCTGACATGCATAGAACTTTTATGCCTAAAATACCCGAATACACTATATACGATTGTACAGCTGGTTCAAGAAAAGTCACAGGCACCATGATTACTTTTTGCTTGTTATGATATTGAAAAATTCAAGTAGATGTGTGTATTCAACACTATACGCTTCCTGTGAATAGGCACAGAATACTGAAGGCACAGAATGATGTAATGTGTAATCACTACATGTTACAGACTACAGAAAATACAGAGGTATCTCAGGGCTAGATTACATTGATTACTCTGTAAAATTGCAAGTCATACTGATTTTCTGGTCTGTCCTTGCATTATTTTACGAATAAAAATGACAACACTAGCTTAGATTGGATGATAATATGTCAATACATGTTATGTTGTTACCTGTGTATGATGTATAGAAATAAAACAACAAAAATAAATAAATAAAGTGACCTTTATTATGATGACCCCAAATTTTCCACACAAACAATGTACTCAGTATTTAAAATAAATTGAAACCAATTGCAGTACTACGTACTTTAACAGTACACCATACCTACAATGCGGTTATATAGAATAACACAACTTGGACACCCATATACCACATGATGAGATACGGGATAAAGTAAGCCAAAGCGCGTGACGGTTGTGGCAAGGGGACTATCGTATACACAATGGTATGAATTATTCTGCTGATTGTATACGTTCTGAAGAGCAGAGTGGCCCACGCCGCCGCCGGCCCTGTCGTTACATACAAAGCTCCAAGAATCCAAAACGCAGGAATATTTTCCAAATCGTTCAAATGAGCGCGACGAGTTCGTTCAACTGTAGGATCGTCATATTTCACTTTCCCCTTCGAAACTTTAGCGTCCTCTGGATTAGCGAAGACGCCACGTGATATCCGCACGAACGATGTGAGAGAGGACAAAAATAGCAGTTTGAGTGCCAATATTGCTGAGTACACTATGTACGACTGTACCACTGGATTTGTCAATTGTATCACCGACATTTTAATTTATTTTCACTACAAATGAACAGCTCGCTTTGCCGGCTTATACTTGAATGTCGATGATGTCTGATAAAATTATTTTTTAACGTACACTACCACGATCTGCGGCAACTTATAACGGTACTGGCTGTTGTCGAGAATAAAACACTACATGTTATACATTAAAACTTTAGCTAACTATATGATAAACGGAGGCTTTGCGCTCTTTTCAATGTATTATTCACTGATATATAAATAAGTTACTAACCGTCTTTAATAACAAACTTGCTTAATACACAAGGGTCGTGTAACGTGTCAGTAAACCAACTACAAAAAAGATTTTATTACGTTTAATATTTAATTAACTAGATTTTATCTAAAACTTCGGTTGTCTTAATAAATAATATTTTTTTTTTTATTTTGTACCTAATTTTATATATATTTTTTAGAACTCCGTAGATAAACTGGAAAATCGAAAACAGTGTTATTTATAATATGTATTACTATATTATTTATAATGAGTATTGGTTACTATATACAAAACTAATACCTATTTGTCTTAATATGTTTTTAGGATTCCGTAACAAACGGAAAAATCAAAAACCGTGTTTTATATATATACAAATATTATTATATAAGTTAGGTAAAATCGAGGTATTAGCAACTACTACAATTACGTTTGGCTACAAAATCCTACTTAAATTTTGATTGATTCTGTTAATTTTTTACTGCCAGCTAACAGGTTAATAGGACTCAGTCAGATACATTACAAAGATACATACAGATAAAGATAATAAGATTAAGATAATATCAAAATTTAGTTATATTTTTTGTTAAAACTTTTTTTTTTACACGGATATTTTGTTATTTAAATGTTAGAGTAATTTCTTTTCTTATATATATTTTTTTTGAACATAAGTGAGCAACAACATTTTTCTTAGTTCAACAATTATTATTTACATGTTAAGTTAGCCTATAATTGTGATATACTTTGTAACACTTTCTTATGTATAACTATATTAAGAAATATATTCTTTGTATATAACGTAGGCTTCCTAATAAATAAAATAAATAAATAAGATACAATAATATATAAATACTAGCAGAACCCGCGACTTCGCTCGCGCTATAACTACAAAAAAATCTCTTAAAAGGTAGGTAGGTACCTAGGTTTCATACAAACTTTCATCCCCTATTTTTCCCCCTTATAGGATGAATTTCCAAAATTGCTAAAACACGTTATTTATTTGCTTTATTTATAAGAGCTCTAATGCCAAGTTTCAAGAAATTATCAGAAATAAATTTTTGGATTGTATTATAAACGTGCTTTCCCGTGCGAATGAGATGAGCTCCCGCGATATAAAGTAGCCTATGCTACTTTCCAGCTCTTTAACTATCTGCACACCAAAATCATGCCAATCCGTCTCTCTGTTTCGACGTGAAAGAAAGACAAACAAACACACTTTCACATTTATAATATTAGTATGCATATTACGATTTTTATAAACTGCCCATTTTTATAATGGTTATTTTATATATAGGAATATCGTGACAAAGACAATGATGGTTAAACTATTACTGGAATGTACCTATAATTTATACATATAATAAAATTGTAACTAAGCCGAATCTGAACATTAAATATTTTTTGGAAAATCTTATTGAAATAAACATTATTATCGATAAAGAGGCCGAATCTATAGTTTTTAGAATTTTTGTCTATCTGTCTTTCTGTCTGTCTGTCTGTTACCGCATCACAGAAAAACCACTGGAGGGATTTTGATGAAATTTGATATGGTGATAGCTGGTTATCCAGGTCAACATACCTATAGGATATTTTTTACCGCGGGAAAATGTCTCTTTTCTGAGAAAAAATAGAAAAACTGCAATATAAGAATATACTAATATGTAAAACCTAAAAATTTGGTTTTTGGTCATCTAAACGCGGACGGAGCCGCGGGCCATGCTAGTATATTAACTAAAAACACTTTTAACGTATAATATGAAAACTACATTGTTTTAAGTTTTAATTACAATGATGCTTAGTACGAATTAAATAAAGTTTTATCCCAAAAGACTATTGTGAATCGAGTTCGCATGTAGTGCAATTAGGCATCAATTTATTTGCTGTTACAGCAACAAAAACAGAAATTACAATTCACATAAGTATTAAGAACAAAAATATTGTTTACGTTACATGTACCTACAATGAAAAATGAAGTTACATCGGTTTTTTCATTATATTTCACAACGGTAACGCAATTATGAGAACATTTAGTACGTAATTTTATTAATTTATTTTTAAGTTATTACATAACTTGGAAAAATCGAAGTCGTATCCGTAATCGTGTAGGTTATCAAGCATCCTTGGGACCATCCTTGACATTGGCTCATAAAGTGTTCCTTAAATAAAAACTTTTTAACAAAAAAATAAAAACCGACTTCAAACAAAAGCACTAATAAAAACTTTTTAACAAAAAAATAAAAACCGACTTCAAACAAAAGCACTAAAAAGTAAAAAATAACTGATTGGTAGTTTTCATTTACTATACATACCTAATCAAATATTTTCGAAGTCGGTGTGCTTTGCTTTGTATGGGCTGGCACCGATTTCGAAAATATTTGATTAGGTATGTATTTAATAGGTAGGCTTTAATTACTTAGCCAAAGCACACCGACTTCGAAAATATTTGATTAGGTATGTATAGTAAATGAAAACTACCAATCAGTTATTTTTTACTTTTTAGTGCTTTTGTTTGATGTCGATTTTTATTTTTTTGTTAAAAAGTTTTTATTTTTCCCTTTTTAGTGTAGACAGTAGTAGCATAGTAAGGATTCTAACGTGTTAGGATTGTCAAATCAAACAAAATAAGCCCAAACTCAAAGTATCTACTATTAGCCGTTGAAGAGTTCCACCTATCCACCTTCTGGCCTTGCCATCAGATCAGGTCAACAACACCGAACCACTGTACTATCAACGGAAATAGAAATACTTGCAAATTTTCAAGTCAATATGACAATTAGAAGTAGGTTAAATTCATCATTAGTTGTTTTTCCACCCTTAGGGGTGGTATTTTTTTTTGAAATTTAAATGGGATCAATCTGGAAGTATACCCTTTCAAACAAAACAAAAATTGTCCAAATCGGTTAATAAATGACGGAGTTCTGAGGTAACAAACATAAAAAAAAACATACAGTCGAATTGAGAACCTCCTCCTTTTTGAAGTCGGTTGAAAAGTAAAAAATAACTGATTGGTAGTTTTCATTTACTATACATATCTAATCAAATATATTCGAAGTCGGTGTGCTTTGGCTAAGTAATTAAAGCCTACGTATTAAATATTATTATTAGCCGTCGAAGAGTTCCACCTATCCACCTTCTGGCCTTACCATCAGATCAGGTCAACAATACCGAACCACTGTACTATCAACGGAAATAGAAACACTTGCAAAGTTTCAAGTCAATATGACAATTAGAAGTAGGTTAAATTCATCATTAGCTATTTTTCCACCCTTAGGGGTGGTATTTTATTTTGAAATTTAAATGGGACCAATCTGGAAGTATACACTTTTAAACAGCATAAAAATTGTCCAAATCGGTTAATAAATGATGGAGTTCTGAGATAACAAACATAAAAAAAAAACATACAGTCGAATTGAGAACCTCCTCCTTTTTGAAGTCGGTTGAAAATATGACAATCCATCCACAATCGGTAAGGATAAAAAACTTAAGTACATACAAACGAATTGAGTATCTCGTCCAAGTGAAAAAAGTATTAGTTTTGTAAATACTTTGTAACTTATATGTCAACATTATCTCTTTAATTTTAATACAAAATAATTTACTCAATTTAATTAACTTGGCTACGATAAATAAAACATAAATATACCAAAAACCTTTTTTTAATTACAGATTATCATCAATAGTTGTGAATCCCTATCAAAAACTATTTTTAACCGACTTTAAAAAAGGAAGAGGCTCTGAATTCGGATGTTTATATTTTTTTATGTATGTTCGGGCATAACTCCGTCTTAATATATAGACGGATTTGCAAAATTCTTTTTTTGTTCAAAAGAGGATTATTCCTAAATGGTTCAATTTAAATTTGAAAAAACATCCACTTAAGTATAGAAAGTAGGGGAAGATTGATATTTCACGAACTGAATTTTTAAAATACTTTCTTTTTATTTTGCTACTCCTATATCTACACTAAAAAAGGAAAATAAAAAGTAAAAAAATAAAAACCGACCAAAAAAAACACTAAAAAGTAACAAATAACTGATTGGTAGTTTTCATTTACTTAATCAGATATTTTCGAAGTCGGTATGCTTTGATTTGTATCGACTGGCGCCTAGCACCGGTTGAAGTTGGGTTCTTTTAAAAGTTTTTTATGAGCAAAATCACATTTCGACCATATTTCAACATAAAGTAATAGCTGCTTGTTAGTAACAAGATACGTCTCGGCCCCTGTTACGCGTCAGAGGAGTTCAGTATTCACGCGACATTGCTTTAAATATTTCAGATATACATATTTATTACTTCGTTGGTGTTTTTAATTTTCATAAAAAGCTAAAGCTGTTGTGACATTTTATTAGGAATAGCGAAATATTAAAATTGATAAGTATAGGCAAATATAAAATTGGTAGGTAAGTATTATAGAAAGATCTATTGGAATATTGAAATAACAAAACGGTATAGCAATTGATTCATTTTGTCTGCGACATATTATTATTAGACAATTGCCATAATATACCTACATGACAATAGGGACTACACATTCAGACAAAAAAACCGGACTCAAAAAGGAAGAAGTTTTTCAATTCGGGTGTATGTATGTTCTTTTTATGATGTAGGTACCATATTGGGTGTCTAGTACAATTACTGTGAATATTTTTTTTATAATTCTTTTTTAATAAACAGGTTATACCTCAAGGGACTATGTAATTTTGAAAAAAGTGGTTTTGAAGTCAATTTATCTTGTGAGTTACATCGAGTAATCTAAACAGATAAATAAAATTGAAGTGTCTGTTTGTAATGTCAAAATAACAGCTTTTTACAAAATGCATATGGAATTATATAAGATATTTATAAGAAAAACACAATTTTTAAAATTTTAACCTGTCTGCCATCTGTTTGTTCCGGCAAATCTCCGAAACGGCTGGGCCGATTTTGACGGGACTTTCACTTGCAGGTAGTTGATTTTATAAGTAGTAACTAAGCTATTTTTATTTCAGTAAAAGAATTAGGGTTCATTAGTTGGGGCAGTTGGAGGGTGAAATCCAACGAGCGCTACCTTGGCTAGACCAAGATAAACATCTAAGCAACCTTTACTCAATAAAATATCAAATAATGTTGAAAAATAATATTATTATCTCTTCATTGCATGTACATATATTGTGATATATTTACTCTATTATTTACACCCCTTCCCTCTTGCAGTTTGCTATCTCCTACACCTAAAGGTTCCCTGGAAGAGATCGCTGTTTTAGCGATAAGGCCGCCTCTTATACATTTCTATTCTGTGTTTATTTATTTTTCTTTTATTCTTGGTGTACAATAAAGAGTTTATTATTATTATTACATATATATAATGTTTATGCAAAATGTTATTGTATACCTAACATTATTTTCAATACAATTTGTTTATCTCGATATTAATAAAATATTTTAAAAATTATTACACTGAAAAAAATATTAATGCATTTTTATATTAAAAAGAAAAGGATTCTAAAACAAACATGCTATATATTATAATCAATACTCAACATATTAAGGAATACTTAATCATATGATAAAAATATGTTTATTATTACTTATCAAAATCATATCAAGTTACTTGACTCAGTCTTTTAGAGTACCTACTTAACTATATTCACTTACACTATATTATACACACTATATACTTTATTCACAGCACATATCACAGAGCGCTAATAAAGTGTAAAATAATTTTAACTCCCATATACCAGTTGATTAGATATGGAATATCAAATGTGATACCACGCACTGGTTGAGGAAGGGGCTTCACAGCGTATACAATTGTGTGCAAAACACGACTGGCTGTATACAGTCTGAACAAAAGAGTTGCCCATGCAGCCGACGGGCCGGTGGTTAAATACAATGCACCTAGCACCAAAAACACGGGAATACTTTCCAGATCATTTAGGTGAGCTCGTCTAACTCTTTCGACATCTGGATCGTCGTATTTCACAATTCCCTTAGTTCTTCGGGCATCCTCTTCGTTGGCAAACACGTTTTTCCTGTATCGTACTCTAGCGGTTAATATTGCCATTGCAAGCACTTTTAATCCCAAAATACTTGAATATAGTATATATGACTGCACCGCAGGCTCACTGATAGATAACATGTTTGTACTTTCCTGTTTCTGTAGAGTCAACTTAAATAACTAAACGCGTGTATACCACAGTGAATTAATGTCGAGTGACCCAATCCATAATCCAATGAACATTTCACTGTGGCACGTCACGAAAACTAACTCGATACTATTATTTTACAAGTCATGCTAACTAAGCTTATTTTCCTATGATGATGAGCCTGTGTAAAATACCTGCTGTTTAAAAAGAGGCTGAGCTGTAAATTATATGCAACGTTTTTAACATAACAAACTGATGTAACTTAATTTATATCTTAATATACGTATACGTTTGAGGAAATACAAGATATTTTTTACGGTAAATGGACAGAAAAATATAAATATTATGATCATTAAGATTCAAAAACAACGAGTTTGTCAAACCAAGAAAAGGCTTCGGGAAAACAAAGGAATTGTATGTGTAATGGGCCTCAATTAATGTGAATTATTTTATATATGTATTAGAATATGCTATAGATGAGTATATATTTCATTATATAGTCGTAATGTTAATAGGATATAGTAAAAATACCACCTAAGAAATAAATGATTTATTTTTAAATATCTTACTTTTTTTTTTAATTTATTAAGAACACCAACAACATAACACACAAATACATTTTAAATTCATTCCTAATACACAAGTTCTAGTATGTTAGTCTCTTACAGGTGTCCATAGCACTGACCAACAAATTACATACATGCACTGCTAATATAAAAAGAAGATAAAGTGACTACAAAATAAGGGCAAAAAATTAAAAAACATTAAAATTTATAAATAGGGTTTAAGTTATCTTAACTAATTTTATGTATATAAAAAAATAAAAACTGAGATATATGTAAAAAATATTTAAATTACTTACTCCTAAAATGTAAACACAAAATGTCTTAAGAACTTTGCTAAAATAATAGTGGTAGGGACAGATAATTAACTACATAAAATAATGCCGTTTAACTTACAATGATTTACAATTCTCCGCGGATTTTTTCGACCAAGGTATTCTTTAGTTTGAGCAAATTATTATGAAATAGATCAACGTCACACCCGAAAGACTCAGTTCATTATATGCTTTAAGCATTCGAGGAAGAGGAGAGTTCGAGCAAGATACCGTCCTAGAAACTGGCATATCGAACGGGCCTTTGTTTATTGCGCGCGACCCAGGTCGCGGAATCCTGAAATAAATATTCTCTAATATTAGTGGACAATCCATCATTCCATTCAGTATCTTAAATAATGTGCAAATATCAATTATACGTCTCCTATTAAATAAAGTGTCAATTTTAAAAGTCTTCAACCTATACTGATAATCGCTTCTCTTACTTATATCGCTATTATACACAAGATACTTGGTAAAGGAACGCTGTATTCGTTCGATTCTTTCGGAATGATATGCTTGGTAGGGATTCCAAATGACGCTTGCATATTCCAATATGCTTCTTACTAAGGCATTAAAGATAACTATCCTAGTCTTTGGAGAACGCAAGTCTTTACATGTTCGCCTCAAAAAACCAAAAGATTTTAATGCTTTCTCTATCATATGATCATAATGTCTCGTAAAACTCAACTTGTTGTCAATAATAACTCCCAGGTCTCTGACAAATGGGGTTTCTCTTATACACACTCCGTTAATGTGGTACGAAGCATCAAATGTTTTTTTTTCTTTTTGTGATTTTTATAAAGCAACAGTTGGAAGCATTTATTATCATACCGTTACGAGTACACCATTCTTGCACACGATCTAGGTCTTCTTGGAGCATAACTATATCAACAGAACTTTTAATAGGCATAAAAATTTTCATATCGTCCGCGAATAAGAGGCAGTTGCTATTTATAGCACATTCTACGATATCGTTAATAAATAAAATAAATAAAATCGGCCCTAAGTGAGAACCTTGAGGCATACCCGATACTGCTTTGTACCTACGTGACTCATATCCCTTGACCACTACATACTGAACTCTCCCCTTTAAATAAGAACTAAACCATGATAAGATATGTCCACTTATGCCATAAAAATATTGTAATTTAACGAGAAAAAATTTATGATTTACCCTGTCGAATGCATTACTAAAGTCCGTATACACAGAATGGACCTCAATCCCCTCATCAAGAGAACTATTCAAGCTGGTAACGTAATTTAACATGTTGCTATTTACAGATTTTTTACTTTGAAAACCGTGTTGTCTATCTGAAACTAGATTCTTTGTGTGTTCTACCAAAATGGGACAGACTAAAGATTCAAATACTTTCCCAAAAATTGACAACATTGATATTGGTCTGTAATTAGCAACATTTGCAACATCTCCCTTCTTGTAAACTGGAACCACCCTCGCTTTTTTCCATTCGGTTGGAAAAGTTCCCGTTTCGAGAGAACGATTAAAAATCAATTTCAATGGTAGAGCAAGAACCTTCGCACACCTTTTTATAAATATGGTTAAAGACATTTATTTCTCTAAAGAACACACTGTTCACTTATACAGAGATTAAGTACAATATATATAAAGACTAGAAAAGCACAAACAGATCTATCCCACGGGAACCGTTCATTTTTCCAGAATGATGAATTTTCCGGATGAAAAGTAACCTGTTGTTTGATCGGCAATATAAGGTATCAGCATGCCAAATTTTACTAAATTAGGAGGATAAGTTGTTGTGTACTAAGCTGTATAAGTTACTATAGTTTTTTTAACTATCCCACGGTAACTCTTTAATTTTCTGGAATGAAAAGTATCTTAGATGTTGACCGGGGATATAAGGTACTATAATGCAAAATTTCATTTAAATCGTTTCAATAGTTTTGGAGATTAGCCCGTACAAACAGACAAACAGACAGAGAAACAAAAAAAATTGAAAAAAAACTGGATTTGTTCTATTTCTCTTCTTTCGGGATGTAAGAAGAGAACTGACTCGGTTTTTAGCATTTTTTTTCTAACCCCTACAGTTTTATTATATGTATAGATAGAATAAATAACGTAAAATAAAACAGTAATATATAATAATGAAAATTGTTATAGCGAGTGTACCTGAGGAGATAGACATATACTATGTAGAACTTTTCTATAAACCTTTTTAAGACTTACAATTTTCTTGCACAATGTTTTGATCTATCTCTTAAGGTTGAGCCAACGTTAACCATATAAATTTCTAAGGACGATTCGATAGAACCAGTTATTGTATTTTCCCGTGGGAAAGAAAGATTTTCTTGAAGTAAAAGGTATCTAGGCAGTGGTATGCCAGTGGTAACGCGCTCGCTTGGGAAACCGAGTGAAGCAAGTACAAATCCCGGGTCTCGCACCTCTGATATTTTCATGTGCGAATCATTTCTGACACAATTACCACTTGTCTTAACGATGAAGTAAAACATTGTGAGGAAACCTGCATGTCTGAGAGAACCTAGCAAGTTTTGAAAAGACATATGAAGTCCGCCAACCCGCACTTGGCCAGCGTGGTAGACTATGGCCTGATCCCCCTCGTATTGAAGGGAGCCCGTGCCCAGCAGTAGGACGTTAAAAAGGGCTGAATACATACATATATAAATACATACATACAAAAGGTACCCTTAATGTTGACTCGAGTAATAAGTTATCACTTCACCAACTTTCGCTGAAATTGGTACATTACTTTTCACGTGAAACGCTCACGCAAAAACAGACAAACAGACATACAGGCAAACAGTCAATTTTTTTAATAACTATTGTTTTGGGGTCTATGTTGTGAACATACGTTACAAATAAACAAAAACATCTATCCCACGGGAACAGTACATTTTTGCGGGATAAAAAGTAACCTATTTGTTATTCTGATGTATGAACTATACATATTATTGTAAAGTTTCATCAAAATCCAATCAGTAGTTTTTGTGTACTAAGCTGTATAAGTTACTATAGTTTTTTGACTATCCCACGGAAAATCTTTAATTTTCCGGGATGAAAAGTAGCTGATTTGTTTTTGTTATGTATGAGCTATATTATTGTAAAGTTTCATTAAAATCCAATTAGTAGTTTTTGTGTACTAAGCTGTATAAGTTGCTATAAGTTTTTAACTATCCCACGGGAACTCTTTAATTTTCCGTGATGAAAAGTATCTAAGATGTTTCCCGGGGATATAAGGTACCACCATGCAAAATTTCATTTAAATCGGTCCAATAGATTCGGAGATTAGCCCGTACAAACAAAAAAACAGACAAACAGCTCGCTCGGGTTCGTCCATACCTACGAATATGTTGTATTATCTCTTTAACCATTTGTCCAAATTGTATGCAGTAAAAGGGAAAAGTCTTTTGTTTTTAACATTTTAGACGATAAATTTACTTATTTTGATAAGAATTCATAATTGTTGATAATATGACCAATAAACATGACCTACCGATTTAAATTATTTTTTTAATATAAAAAACTACTTTTTGTGACTTAAATATAAAAGTTAGATATATGCTGTCGCTGACTTTTTTGTAGGCATTATTAAGCTCTACAACTTTTCTCTAGAACATAATCATATATCTCTCATGGTTAAGGCAGCGTTCGTAAGAAACGTTTTCGTTCGACCGTTTTTTCTCCGACTTACTTTGCAAATCCGACTACCACGAAAAAGCCTTTTCATTTTTCTGGTTAATATATAGCCTATGACACTCAGAAAGAACGTGGCTTTCTATTGGTAAAAGAATTTTGAAAATCGGTTCAGTAGATCCAGAGATTACCCCCTACAACGTCACAAACTCACAAACTCACAAACTCACAAATTCACAAACTCACAAGATCACAAACTTTACCTCTTTATAATATTAGTATAGATAATATTAACAGTATTTACACGGTAGCATGCATTATATAATTTTTTGTTACTTTTTCTTATGTAACTTTAATTTGTATAATTATTTCTATATTATGTACATATGTATTATAAAAAGATAATCTTTTAA